AGAGTCAAAAAAGAGCAGACAGCGAAGAAACTCCCTGCGCAGTTCTCGGAAACTATAGACGTTTTAAATGCAATTTGGGGGTTTTTATGGAGAAAAGCTGTCGCTCATGGAAGGAAATGAACATAGGATGGAGCGTCATGCTAATGAGGATATTAAGACGGAACAGGGGAGCCTAGCACGGATAGCGGCCGTATAGCCGCTTGGACACGGAGGAAGGTGTCGTAGAGGTCTCGAGCTCCTCGAGATGCCGATGCTGCGACCACGATAAGCCCTTGCCGATTTCCGAGGCCGTCATAAACGCGAAGAAAACACGAGAATTCGCCACTATCGCAGCTATCCGTTGGTAGTCGACATAAGTGAGCTGCATGTATATGGGATGGATTTGGTGCAGATACTAATCTCATAAATAAATGTTACTCAAACGAAGCAAGTAATACTATAAGATTACAATGTTTATTTCGCCTGTAGTAATACTACAGCGGTCAGCTGGTATTAGAGTGAGCATTGCTACAGCAATCTGGCTTCTTCTTAATGACTTCAACGGAAGTAGATATATCAAAATCCAGGGACAGAGCATTCCAAGCTTCAACTACTCTATTAAAAAAGAAAAACTTTCGTGTGTCTAGTCTGGCCCCTGTTACACGTAGTTTGAATGGATGGTCTCTTAAGTTCGTAATTGATGCTAACTCGAAAAAGTCGCCAGGTAGAAGACAGCAGTCCTGACCGCGCAGTATACGGAGAGTTTGCATCAGACCACCGCGTAGCTGCCTGCAAATTAAAGGAAGAGGTCGAGATTAGCCAACCGTGTTTCATAGGGTAATGAGCCCTGTCTGGTCACAAGTTTTGTTGAACGCCTTTGAACGTTATTCAGGATATTGAGGTCTCTCGTGGATCAGGGTATACAGGTTTGGATCGTGAATTCTGGTATTGGCCCCGTAAATGGACCAAGGATCCTAGCGAAGTAGTCTTCATTAAAGGCAGAGAAAGCCCGTTTGATAAGGTATAGGACGGATATAACAGACATAACTACTTTTGCACAGTGCAGCGAGGGTAAAGGCGACGTCATAATTCACATTCCAAACTCCTTCGGCGCGTCCACTTCTTGCAGTTGTATGCCATTCAGGCATTAAACCATGCGATTCTGAGAGGTATGTCGGCCAACTCGTAGGGTACTGCACTTGTTCTCATTGAACGGCAAAAGCCAGTACCTACACCAAGTTTGAAGACGGTCTAGGTTTACCTGCAAAGGCTCTTCATCAGCTGCATTTCTGATGATGTTCCAAATCTTAATATCATCGGCAAACATAGTAACATCACAATACAGTTCACGGACGCAGTCGTTGACGTACATAAGGAACAGTATATGGCCAAGGGCAGAGCCTTGGGAAACACCGCTCTCGAACGCAACTTCTGCCGACTGCTGGTCGGCGGCATGGACAGTTTGAGAGCGGCCAAGTAGGACGCTTTGAATCCACTTCTGGAGATTTCCACTAACACCTATTCGGTCGAGTTTGTGCATCCTGTGCGGTACCTTGTCAAAAACTTCGTTTAGGTCAAAGTAGGTCACAACCACCGATTATTGCTCATTACGAGGGGAAGTGACGTGTTTAGGAAGAACCAACTGACACACTTTGCACGATTTTACAGGTAGAGAACCATTCTGCAAAGCACTTATGAGCTGGTTTTCCAGACAAAAATCGTGAATTTGATTAATAATAATCTTGTCAAGGAGTTTGGCCAGGGCTGTTTTATGAACGCCTCAATACTTATTTACGTGCGAACGAGATCCCGACTTAAAGACAGAAGGAATAATAGACGTCTGCCTTAAGCTAGGAAAGAATCTGTGTAAGAGATCGACTGGCAATATATGACGAAGCAATCGCGGGAAGTTATTCGCTATCTTGATAACGGAGTTTTTAATACCCTCAGTTTCCGAAGAGGGCGAGTTTTTTAGACGAATTATGTGCTTACGATTTATTACTAAATATAAATCAATGGTACTGATAACATTGACTGAGTATAGATGAATCGACGGAACCCGTTTAGATTTCGTGGCAAGATGCTTTGCAAAGAATGCACTACACAAGACAACTTCGTCAGTGTCTTCGGGAACGAAGCTTTTATTTTTATTTAATAATATACGAATTGCATGACCTCGTTTAAAGGAGGACCAACGACGCAATACCCTGATAACATCAGATAGACGAAAACTACCATATGGCTAACCATTTCTGGTGATGTACCGTTTTATTGGCCACATGCTAACTTTGTCAATCTGATGTTATCAGAGTAGTTGAGCAACAGAGTTTACAGAGTTTATCTCGCTGAGTACATATGATTCCCTCTGCCTGTCACGTGCAAGACGAACCTTAAATGCTAGTTCAAAAATCTCTGCGATCCTTAGATGCGCAGATAACACTCTAGTAGATCAATCTTTCAACTGCCTCCTCAATTTCTTTAGTCTAGGCAAAAGAAATTAAGGGGTGGTGGATTTCAAAGCGCAGGGTTAAACAATTTTAGTTGGCATAAATTCGAAGATTCTATTAGAAACGGCCAAGAACAGTTGCAGCGTCGTCCGTGGATGAGAGACTCCGCCAACCAAGTGAATCAATAAAGTTGTTAATGAAGCTAATATCTGCGAGCTCATAAGCACGATAGGTACGAAGGACACGGCATTCTACGAAGAGACAAACAGAAGACAACAGTGAATTAACGCATGGTATTTTTGAAAGAGGCCCTGCATAAAATCAACGAAGAGGAGAGCAATGCCGTCTGGAAAAATCAGATCTAAAATATGGTTGTCTCCGAAATTGATTTAAAATTTTCATAGAG